CGTCTCTATCAAGTAAGAAACCTTTATTAAATGCTGTGTATGCTATAAAAAATGTTAATGGTTATAGAACAATAGGGGTTAAGATTAATGATGACATTAAAAAGGAATATTTTGATGAATCATCTAATATTTGTTTTAGAGAGTTACCATTAGAGGAATGTCTTCCAAAAACAATTCCTTGCAGACCTACAGACACTCAATCAAAATTAGAAGATCATATTAAACGATTAGAGATGCAATTAAAAATTAATTCGGAACAAAATGAAATTAAACTGCATCATATTGAAAAAAAAAATATTTTAGAACCATTTGATAAAAAGCAATCAGATGCTATAGAGTGGCTACGTAGGTTCGAAGAAGAATGTTGTCGATTTCAGATAATATCCTATAATTTAAAAATTCAAGCGTTACGTTTTTATCTCATTAATGGTCCGGCTAATGATTGGTATGAGAATAATTTAAAGAAGATTAGTCTGAACGATTCATGGGGCATATGGAGGGACTCTTTTAAGAATATTTTTGTTGATAAAGGCTGGTCTCTTGTAAAAAGAGCTTTAGGCTACAAATATTTGGGCGGATCCCTAGTCGACTATACCCTCACCAAGGAGAGATTATTACTTGACATAGAGCCTAAAGGCACGGAGATCTCCCGTATAAACCAGATTGTTTTCGGTTTGCCAAATGAGGCTCAGTTGAAACTCGATCGAGAAAAAATTTGTAATTTGTATGAATTATACTCAAAACTACGAAGATTAGAAGATGCGTTTATAAAAAAGAAGGAAGAAAAACTATCAAATCCAAAATCTATTGTGAATCCCGCTTTAAATTATTTAAAAAAAGGCGAACCACAGCATAAGAGTAATTATCAGCGTAAGCCATATTCTCACTGCGAAACCCTCGGTTTTCTCAATCGTTATAATTTAATGGCTGAATGTCATAACAAAAATAAAACTCCAAACCAACCAAAAATAAATCAAACTGATCTCTATTTAAGCGAAATCGATCTTGATTCAGAACATTTAAACTAGAAAGCCGGGCAAAGTTAGATCCGCTGGTTAAACTAAATATTATTATAAATGATAGTATTAAAATTAAGTCTATTTATGATAGTGGCTCAAATGTAACATTAATAAATCAACAAATTGCTGATTTGCTGAAGTTGAAGTTAATTAAACAAAGAGCAGCGTTAAGAACTATTGGCGGACTTAATTTCACCTCAGCCCGGGCTAAAATTAGACTCCGTATTGGAAACATTACTGATTACATTACAACATATGTAGTCAAGAATAATAATTTCTCCTATGATTTATTACTAGGTATAGATGCCATCAAGAAATTTAAATTACTACAAGATGAGAATCTAAGAATTTTGCAACGTACCAATGACATAAAAATCATAACATCAGAAGATATCTCTCCTGATAGAATAGATAGAAATATAAATTTAACACGGTCAAAAGTTGATCAGATTGAGACATACGGTCCTCTTCAAAACCAGAATACAACTACTTGTAAGAACTTAAGAAGTGTACAACATATTGAACAAGAGGAGCACAAAAAACAGATTTCATATTTACTAAAAAAATGCCAACATATTTTTGCTAAAGACAAGTTCGACATAGGTAAGGTTCATTCACGAGAAGCAGAAATAAAACTAATCAGAGATGAGTTTGTCACTTCTCGCCCTTATAAATGTTCTATCCCGGATGACGAAGAAATACGAAGCTAAATAAAAGGATTTTTGCAAGCTGGGGTCATCGAAGAATCAGACTCCCCGTTTTCTTCGCCTGTCACACTGGCCTACAAAAAGGGAGAGAAGAGGAAATCTCGACTCTGCAAAGATTTCCGAAAGCTAAACAAATTAGTAGTTCCTGAATGTTTCCCGTTTCCTACTATTCAAGATGTAATTGATAGAGTAGCTAATTGTGAATTCTTCACCGTTTTGGACATCAATTCTGCATTTTGGCGCATATCGCTTCGTGAGCGGGATCGGAAAAAGACCTCTTTTATTACGAAATATGGAAAATTTATGTTTAAAGTTCTTCCGTTTGGTATTAAAAATGCTTCCGCTATATTACAGAGAATACTATCCAACATTATAAGAAGAAATAACCTGGACAATTTCTGCATAAACTACATTGATGATATTTTAATTTTTTCTCGGAATTGGGAAGACCAACTTCAGCATATTAGCAAGGCTTTAGAAGTTATGATCACTGAAGGTTTCAAACTGAAAATAGAAAAATGTCTGTTTGGTGCGAAATCAGTAAAGCACCTAGGACACAAGTTTTCGAAAAATAAAGTGTCACCCGCCCAAGATAATTTAATATCGATTCAGAAACTCCAGAGGTCCTCAGACAAGTCAGGTGTTCGGATTATTTTAGGCTCCATAAACTTTTATTTGAAGTACATAGAACAAAGTTCTGTCAAACTAGAACCATTGCATCGTTTATTAAAGAAAAATGTTAAAATCGAATGGTCAGATGAATGTGAAGAAGTTTTCAATAAATAAAACTTTTTGTGCAGTTCCCCGGTCCTCGCTATATATGATATTGAGAAGCCTGTCTTCATAGAGACAGATGCAAGCTTAAAAGGTATCGGAGCAACCCTAAAGCAACCACAAGAAGATGGCCTACTTCATCCTGTCGCTTACTACTCACGCAAGCTTTCAGAACGTGAGAAACGTTTAGATGTTATTCACTTGGAATGCAAAGCCATTAAAGATGCGATTAAGTTCTGGCAATACTACTTAATTGGACGTCACTTTACAGTTTGCTGTGATCACAAGCCTTTAGAAAACTTGAGGACAAAAGCCAGATCTGATGAAATTCTGAGAGATTTGATTCTTTATTTATCCCAGTTCAACTTTGATATTATCTATAAACAGGGAAAAGATAACGTTCTGGCTGATCTACTCTCCAGAAATCCAGTCATTGAACACTTCGAGAATGAATATTCAATCCGGATCACCAACTTAATAGACTTGTCAGCCATAAAAAAAGACCAGGCTGATAATTTTTCAGAGCTGAGAGCGACTGAACAGATTTTATCAAAGCAGGGCATAATTTTCAAAAATATTAGGAAGAAATCAAGAATTTTTGTATCCCAAGCATTTGGAAAAGAAATTATTAAAATCATTCATCAACACTATGGCCATATCGGCCCATCTCACATGAAAGCAACTATCAGACCATATTACTATTTCAAGGGCCTAGATAAAGCAATTAATGACTTCTATAGGAGTTGCAAGATTTGTTGAGAACAAAACTCGTCGTAGTCGTGCCATCGGCTAGCTCTCCCGTCTCGGCCCAGCCACAGAGCCTTTCCAGATCATGTCGCTCGACAGTGTCGGAGGGAACCGCTCTTCCAAACGGTACATGCATATTCGCGTTGACCACTTCACAATATGTGCATGGATCTCTACAACAAAGGGTCAAACAGCTAAAGATTTCATAAACTTACTCGATCCTGTAGTTAAACAACATAATATCTCGATTCTACTGGCTGACCAATATACAGGTATTAACTCAACTTTTTTCCTGAAATATTTGAGAAGTGTTGGGATACAGATCGTTTTCACATGCATTGACAATCCCAGTTCCAACGGATTAAACGAAAGATTGAATCAGACCTTAGTGAATCGCCTGCGATGTAAGAAAAACAATGCCAATAGAAGAGCCTGGTCTACCTTGGCAGAAGAATGTGTGAACGAATACAATAATACCATCCATAGTTCCACCCACTTTGAACCAACTATTGTTCGGCCATAAATCTTCTGTATCTCCACTTGGAAACACTCCATCCTCTTTAGAAGAAGACCGTAAGATAGCTTTCCGGAATTCAACGAGGAGTTTCAGTATCAATAAGAAACGCGTTGATAGGAATAGAACGGAACATACTTTCAGCGTTGGTGATTTAGTCTACGTCGAGAATGGCAATAAATTAAGTCGCAATAAGCTTGATCCAGTTCGGATTGGACCATTCCCAGTCGTCAGACGGATTTCTTCGTTGTTCTATGAAGTAGCCAGCGGAAAGAGGAAGAACGTCTCAAACTTGTTCCACTCCAGCAAGCTGCTTCCTTACTTCCCGCCACCGCCTCAAGAAGCGACCTCCAGAGGGGAGGTGTAAGGTTACTTGAGCAATCTTTAAACACTTCAACTGTTACTTATCTTTAAATCAGATGTTAATGATTATTTATTAGAAAATACCTTCTTGTATTGTTATATTGGATTAGTGTTAGAATTAACTTGTGTTGTAATAACGTGTAATTAAATTCTTTTACTTTAATTGAATAAATCACGTCTATAAAAGATCTTATATATATATATATATATATAGTAACATATTTTATTAGGGCCTTTATAAATTGTAATTGTTAACAGAACACATGTTCATGTTTTGTTCTTTTATTATTTTTGAACTGTGTGAAAAGAAGCATTTATATGTATTATATTTATAAATTCGATTTATGGCTATGTATTTTATTAATTTTAGTTGTGACTTAATTTGAAATTGTAAAAACAATAATAACATTTAACTAGCGATAATGATTAAAAGGTACGATGTATTAGAGCTAACGGACAGGAGGTCTTTCTCTGTCAAAGGTTGAAAAGTAAATGACTAGTGGTATGGTGTTTTGGAGGTTGCGCGTGGCGCAAGTAACTAAAATAATTGTTACTAGTGTTGCCTCTCACTAACCTGAATACAGGTCTGAAGGGTGGTTATTAGTTTAAATACGGGTCTGGTTCCTGGGGCAGGCACTTTCTCCCGAGTCACTACCACTTCCTCACAAAGGCTCCTGGAATCTCTCTGTCTGACAGTTTGAAACCAGACCAATGTATTATTTTTTGGTTTTACCTTCCTTCCTCTCTGTTCTCTCCTAACCTACCACCTCTCTCCTTTCGTAGGAATAACATGGTTGTCCCTCGTTTTCCTACAGTCCCCCTTGCATCTTCCAGGTTGTCCCTGGGAGTGTAAAGTTACTATCCTTGCAACGTCAGGGGATTGCCTCCTCGGTTGCTGAGCCCTGGAGGTGTAGGGGTTGTCCCATTATCATTCTTGGCGGTCTTACCTTATCCTATCTTTGCAACGTCAGGGATTGACCCACGGTTGCTGAGCCCTGGATATGTAGGGGTTGTCCCCCTATCATTCTTGGCGGTCTTACCTAACCTTCCCTTGCAACGTCAGGGGATTGCCTCCTCGGTTGCTGAGCCCAGGATGTGTAGGGGTTGTCCCCCTATCATTCTTGGCGGTCTTACCTAACCTATCCCTACACTGAGACCCAATCTCTCCTAACCTATACCTCCTTTCTCCTTTCGTAGGAATAACTTAATTGTCCTTCGTTTTCCTACAGCCCCCTTGCGTCTTTCAGGTTGTCCCTGGGAGTGTGAGGTCACCTATCCTTCCAACGTCAGGGGATTGACTCCTCGGTTGCTGAGCCGTGGATGTGTAGAGGTTGTCCCCCTATCATTCTTGGCGGTCTTACCTTATCCTATCCTTGCAACGTCAGGGGATTGCCTCCTCGGTTGCTGAGCCCTGGATGTGTAGGGGTTGTCCCCCTATCATTCTTGGCGGTCTTACCTATCCTATCCTTGCAACGTCAGGGGATTGCCTCCTCGGTTGCTGAGCCCTGGATGTGTAGGGGTTGTCCCCCTATCATTCTTGGCGGTCTTACCTAACCTATCCTTACACTGAGACCCAATCTCTCCTAACCTATACTCCCTTTCTCCTTTCGTAGGAATAACTTGGTTGTCCTCGTTTTCCTACAGCCCCCTTGCGTCTTTCAGGTTGTCCCTGGGAGTGTGAGGTCACCTATCCTTGCAACGTCAGGGGATTGCCTCCTCGGTTGCTGAGCCCTGGATGTGTAGGGGTTGTCCCCCTATCATTCTTGGCGGTCTTACCTTATCCTATCCTTGCAACGTCAGGGGATTGCCTCCTCGGTTGCTGAGCCCTGGATGTGTAGGGGTTGTCCCCCTATCATTCTTGGCGGTCTTACCTTATCCTATCCTTGCAACGTCAGGGGATTGCCTCCTCGGTTGCTGAGCCCTGGATGTGTAGGGGTTGTCCCCCTATCATTCTTGGCGGTCTTACCTTATCCTATCCTTGCAACGTCAGGGGATTGCCTCCTAGGTTGCTAAGCCCTGGATGTGTAGGGGTTGTCCCCCTATCATTCTTGGCGGTCTTACCTTATCCTATCCTTGCAACGTCAGGGGATTGCCTCCTCGGTTGCTGAGCCCTGGATGTGTAGGGGTTGTCCCCCTATCATTCTTGGCGGCCTTACCTTATCCTATCCTTGCAACGTCAGGGGATTGCCTCCTCGGTTGCTGAGCCCTGGATGTGTAGGGGTTGTCCCCCTATCATTCTTGGCGGTCTTACCTAACCTATCCTTGCAACGTCAGGGGATTGCCTCCTCGGCTGCTGAGCCCTGGATGTGTAGGGGTTGTCCCCCTATCATTCTTGGCGGTCTTTATCTAACCTATCCCTACACTGAGACCCAATCTCTCCTAACCTATACCTCCTTTCGTAGGAATAACTTGGTTGTCCTTCGTTTTCCTACAGCCCCCTTTGCGTCTTTCAGGTTGTCCCTGGGAGTGTGAGGTCACCTATCCTTGCAACGTCAGGGGATTGACTCCTCGGTTGCTGAGCCCTGGATGTGTAGGGGTTGTCCCCCTATCATTCTTGGCGGTCTTACCTTATCCTATCCTTGCAACGTCAGGGGATTGCCTCCTCAGTTGCTGAGCCCTGGATCTGTAGCGGTTGTCCCCCTATCATTCTTGGCGGTCTTACCTATCCTATCGTTGCAACGTCAGGGGATTGCCTCCTCGGTTGCTGAGCCCTGGATGTGTAGGGGTTGTTCCCCTATCATTCTTGGCGGTCTTACCTAACCTTCCCTTGCAACGTCAGGGATTGCCTCCTCGGTTGCTGAGCACTGGATGTGTAGGGATGTCCCCCTATCATTCTTGGCGGTCTTACCTAACCTATCCCTACACTGAGACCCAATCTCTCCTAACCTATACCTCCTTTCTCCTTTCGTAGGAATAACTTAATTGTCCTTCGTTTTCCTACAGCCCCCCTTGCATCTTTCAGGTTGTCCCTGGGAGTGTGAGGTCACCTATCCTTGCAACGTCAGGGGATTGACTCCTCGGTTGCTGAGCCCTGGATGTGTAGAGGTTGTCCCCCTATCATTCTTGGCGGTCTTACCTTATCCTATCCTTGCAACGTCAGGAGATTGCCTCCTCGGTTGCTGAGCCCTGGATGTGTAGTGGTTGTCCCCCTATCATTCTTGGCGGTCTTACCTTATCTATCCTTGCAACGTCAGGGGATTGCCTCCTCGGTTGCTGAGCCCTGGATGTGTAGGGGTTGTCCCCCTATCATTCTTGGCGGTCTTACCTATCCTATCCTTGCAACGTCAGGGGATTGCCTCCTCGGTTGCTGAGCCCTGGATGTGTAGGGGTTGTCCCCCTATCATTCTTGGCGGTCTTACTTAATCTACCCTTGCAACGTCAGGGGATTGCCTCCTCGGTTGCTGAGCCCTGGATGTGTAGGGGTTGTCCCCCTATCATTCTTGGCGGTCTTACCTAACCTATCCTTACACTGAGACCCAATCTCTCCTAACCTATACCTCCTTTCTCCTTTCGTAGGAATAACTTGGTTGTCCTTCGTTTTCCTACAGCCCCCCTTGCGTCTTTCAGGTTGTCCCTGAGAGTGTGAGGTCACCTATCCTTGCAACGTCAGGGGATTGACTCCTCGGTCTCTGAGCCCTGGATGTGTAGGGGTTGTCCCCCTATCATTCTTGGCGGTCTTACCTAATATACCTTATCCTATCTAAACTTATACACCCCATTCTTATAAACGTAAATAGATACACAAATACCAGGTTAATTGACTAACAGAAGGATTAAAGATTAGAAGGACAGATTTCAGATTTTAAAAGACAAGCATCGGCAATAACAGACAGACAGAGAAAAAGAAAAATATTACTATATATATATATATATAAACTATTGTCGTGACCAGCACTCCTCGATTCCTTCAAGGGGGCGACCCTCTCCCTGGATGGTGGACAAAAAATTCCAAAATGCAGCTATTTAAAGAAAAGAGTGATGTAGGTTTTGGGCCGCCATGAGATGCGAAGGCTTGTGGTTCTGTCGCAGTTTATTCCTATTGACTCCGAACTGAGTCGAGTGGCGGATCCGGGAGTTTTCTCAGAGGGGGGGGGGGAGAAAACCTTTGTACTAGGTGCTTCCCTCACTACTACCAACCCCCACTCCTTACCAGAGTTTAGCAGCTCAAAAATCTTCTTTAAATGGTTTTAACATGAGCAAACTCTATTTTTATTTAAAGTAAATTTTGTCTAGTTTACAGTGAAGCAATCGTTAATTACTTAAATTAAATAGTTTTTTTGTTATCACTTCCTATTCAACAAAAAACTTTTCTTACATGAAAAATCAAAAAACTTTAATTCCCTACTTTTCTGCTGAAAATCGAACCATTGTTTATATACTTTTATCTATTTATTTAGTTCTGCTATCATTCCTTTAAATATTTCCCTCTACTTACGAGACATCCTGTATATGGGTTTAGACATGTAAAAAACTAAATTCTGGCACAGGTTACCAAGAGAAAACTTTTTACAGCATAAAAATCCTGATTTATCTGATTTTTTTTTCATGTATTACTACTAAACAGTGTGAAAAAAGTATTCTTTAAGAAATCAAAGAACGTCAAATTGTGCGTCGAACGAGTACCTAAACTTAATAATTTGATTAAGTGACATGGTCGATAACCACGGTCAACGAACGCTAATTTTTGCAGACATTGTCAAAATCTGAGAAAGATTGCTATACTCGTTTTCGAAAGAAAGGTCCTTCAGAGGATATTTAGCCCAGTTAAGGAGAAAGGTGAATGAAGAATTAGATGCAACCAAGAACTAGTTAACTTATACAAGGAGCCGAATGTGGTGAAATATATCCCGATTAGGCTGGGATCGGATGGAGAATTTGTACGGGTGGACAAGACCTCAATCCCAAAGAAGCTGCTGAGCATGGAGCCGGTTGGAAAAAGAAAAGTGGACAGACCGAAACTGAGATGGAAAATGGAGTAAGTGCTGGTGCTAGAATACATGGAATTTGGAACTGGTGGAGGCTGGTCAGGAAAGAAAAACATGGAGGAAAACTCTTGAGGCAGCCAAGATACAGTAATGGATTGTCGAGTTCGAGATGTTGATATTTATCACATTAGAAAATTTGTCTGAGAGGATGATTTTTCTTATATTTCTCTAAATAGATGTTTTTGGATAGCTTTTTCGGAAATTTTTTTCTACCATCAAGAGGGGTGGCGCGCCCACTGGCAGAAATTACTAGTGCTGGTCACGATAATAACTATTTTTATATATATTACATTAGAAAATTCGTCTATGAAGATGAATTTTCCATATATTTCTTTTTTCTTTAAATAGTTGCTTTTCGGTACTTTTCCTCCACCATCCAGAGGAGAGAAGTGCGCACCCCCGACTGGATCCGCTATTACTGGTCATGACAAAATATTTTTTTATAGCATATTAGAAAATTACTCTTAGAGGATGAATTTTCCTTATATTTCTCTTCGTTTAAATAGCTGCTTTTTGGAATTTGTTTCCAGCTCCCAGGAGTAGAGGGGGCCCCCCACCTGGATCCGCAAGTGACTGAGTTTCGCAGGATGTAGGAAAATTTATTTAAAAAAAAAATGAACTTCATTTATTCTTTCTAACAACAATATACGGTATATATCAAGCACAAAAAAATACGGTTTTTCTCCCGGACCCATTGCAACCTCCAGCAACTATTGACTTCCTTCAAGAACCCACGCGATTCATAAAACTGGATACGATAATAATTTATATATTTTTCATTAGAAAGTGTTATTATTTTCTTAAAATAGCTGCTGTTGGAAACGTTTTCATGATCGGAATCTGAAATTATGCTGAGTATTTTTTTCTTAGAGAACTCATTTCCAAGCTACAGAGCCATTTATAGTATTCAGATAATGACAATTTCGTTAAAAATTGCCGTTCATTGACCGTGGTTCTGACCATATCACTTAATCAAATTATTATGTTTAGGTACTCGTTCGACGCACAATTTGACGTTCTTTAATTTCTTAAAGAATACATTTTTCGCTTTGATACCCTGTTTAGTAGTAATACATGAAAAAAAGTACAGATAAATTTTAATTTTTTGGAAGTAAAAAGTTTTCTCTTGGTGACCCATGTCAGCAATTTAGTTGTTTACATGTCTAAACCCATATATAGGCTGTCTCCTAAGTAGAGGAAAATATTTAAAGATGTGCATAACTTAAAAAAGTTTATATAAACAATAGTTCGATTTTCAGCAGGGAAATGGAGAATCAAAGTTTTGTGATTTTTTATGTGTCACTTTGTTTGTTGAATAGGAACAGATAACAAACAACTATTTAATTCAAGTAATTAACAATTGCTTCACTGTAAACTAGATAAAATTTACTTCAAATAAAAGTAGAATTTGCTTTTGTTAAAACCATTTAAAGAGAACATTTGAGGGGCTAAACTCAACTAAGGAGTAGGGGAGATGGGTAACAGGTAACCCTGTCCTGCCCTCCCCTGAGAAAATTCCTGGATCTGCCATTGAGGAGTATAAAATATTAAGACAACTTATTGAGTTATTATTCCAATGCTGAATAAAGCTGTTTTGATAAGAATTTGACCTGTTTAAAGGAAAAAATAACAGATTCTTCTGAAGTGAAAGTATAAATAATCTGGAAGCAGACATGAAGAATGACCATTTCAAGCTACCACATGTGGAAAAATGACTATAAAAAATTAAATGATAGAAAATTTTGCAATTTTATACATTTTGATATTACAAATTGTTACTGACTCAATTAATTATGAATTCTTGAACCAAATATCTAAGTTTTAAAATGGAATAAAAA